CTATGAGGGAGACTCCCTGTCCTTTTAACCCCCCATGTGTAATTTCTGACGTTCTAAGAAACACAGTAAGAAGCACACCACTCTATTGAAACAGAGTTATGAATTTAATCACAAAGTGCACTTTACAAAGACCCACACATATGCAAAGCTTTCTGCTTCCAAATTCAAATATGAGTAGCCAAGGGTAGAGCACTCATTTTCATTTCCAATCTCACAATTACAACTGGACCATAAAGGTAGTGGGGAAGTATGGTGGAGAGATGTACTGTTCTATGCACCCTCTGATTTGTGAGTCATATTCCAGGTATATCTGTTGAGGAAATCCTTTATATTTATCCTTTTATAAATATATAGATATAAAAATCTAAACATAAAGATATACAGTAGATACTGTAGATCCTCTGTCTTCAAGTGCTTTACTCATTTTTTGTTTTGCTGGTGAGCCAGAGCATATCCCAGCAAGCAATGGGAGGAGGGCAAGATACACCCTGGATTGGATGCCAGTGCATCACAGGTCACACACAGACACAAACACACACACACTCGCACCAGGGCCAATTTTCCCAGACGCCAATTAACCTGCCAGTCTTTGGACTGTGGGAGGAAACCGGAACACAGGAAAATGTTCTCCATGGGGAGAAAACACAAACTCAATTCAAATAGTACCTCAGAAATTGAATTTAGGGCCCTGGCACTGCGAGGCAGTAACGCTAACAGTAAATGATTGTATAGCACCTTTCAAAACACTAAAATGGATACTTTACTTATCCTATACATATACTTAGTAGAAAACGGAGTTCTAAATAATGATTTTTCTTTTTCAGCAGACTTTATAGGATATGGTTATGGGATTTGCTCTAGGATATCTAGGATATACAGTACAAACACCTACAATACCACTAAACACGCCTTTTTTGCTTATTACTTACTGAACTTCACTGCTTGCTGCTCAGATTCTACTTTTGTGCTGATGGGACTGCTAACCAAAATGGCATTTCTTTTCTCTTGTGTACCTGCAGCAGCACCAGTGTTTTTTTTACATCATATGAATTAAGTGTAGGCTATTAATACTTAGATAAGACAATTAAAAATGTAAAACACAGTTCTTCATATTGGACTGGATTATAATTGCGATTGGAGCATGTGCTGTTTCTGCACTGCTAATCTGATAATGAACATGAGCCTGGGATAACGAGAAAACCATTATACTTTTGATAGTAAAAACACAGGCACTATATAGACTTTAGTAGATGTTGTATAACTGGGAAAAACTGAGTCATACTTACATTATTCTTTTAACCAACTGATATGGAATTGGAAAAGGCATGGGGAATGAAGTGGAAGTGCTGTTACTTGAAAAAGGTGGCAGCAATCCGACAGGACGTTTAATTGATTTGTTGGCGTGTGGTTGGTTATGAATCAAGAAGCCAATCCAATTAGAATTCACCATGACAACTGCAGAAGCAGCATTCTTTTGACCGTTGAGAGTCTTCTAGTTTTAAAGGGTCACTTATTGCAACTCATGCCTGATTTCAAGCAGCAACAACTAAAGAGCCATTTTCCATCATGCATGGCATTTTATTCTACCATCCTAACGTATATCCTGTCTTTTAAAATGTGTTAAGTCATATAATGCATATAATGCAAGTCTCTGCCTTTCTGAAAGACTTTGCCCCTTGCACCTCAGGTGACTGTCCACTGTTTAATAATGAATGAAAGTATGAGATCCACATTCTAACCAAAACATACATGGTTCAATAGGGTTCATGCTCCCACACATTTACTGACAACTTAAACCATAAACCAAATTAACCACAGAAATGCCACATTTAAATATACTACAGTAGAGATTAAATGAGCCTCCTGGCAGGGAAATAACTTGATTGAGCTTAGGGACTCAAAATAACAGGAGAAGACTTATGTGGGGACAAAAATTGATATATATTTATAAAAAAGGTTGAGCCCATCACAGGGAAAACACTGGATCTGCTAAGACAAATCAAGTGCCGTGATCTGTTTACTTTCAGAAGAACATTTTTAAATGTGCATATGTTGATTTTCTCTTTGATTCAAAGTTCCCTAGTGTCAAATAGTTGATGTCAGCACAACACCAAGTCTTGTGTCTATGAATAAAAGAGACTTAAAAAAGAACAAGGGCTATATAAACAGCAGTAATAGAAATGACCCCTTACTCGCATTAGTCTGAAAACCTACCTGACAACACTGTTTTCTTTTGTCTTAATGTAAATAACAAAACTGCTTTAAATGTATATAAATAAAATGAAAAATAATCTGATGTTAAACTAATATAATAGAAGATCAGTGTTCTTATAATACAGGACAAAATGCTCAAAGCAGAAAGCCACCATCACATGAAAACTTCAGGTGTCTTGGATGTAAGGTTTAGGAGGGGTTAGAACTCGATGGGTCTCATCAGATATAGAGCTGTTAAAGGCAAAATACTCAAAATATGTGCACTGTTAGTTTAAGATAGGGCTTTGAGGCAACCTGAACTACTTATCTAAATGTAATTATAGCCCAAAGCTCAGACACATGCACTTTCTGTAGCTAAATCAAGTGGTCTTTTTCTTAGCACATAAGACAATAAGCCCAATCGACCCCAAATCAACAGGCCCAATTCTGAGATATTTAACTTTTTTAACACTATTGGACTGCCACTTCATTACGATGGATTTTATAGTGAAGACATCAAATTGCACTGAGGACTAAGCGCAGGGGTGCTGCTATAACTTATTGAATTTCCTGCCTGCAATTACATCAGCAAACGGCCCTCTATTTACCTGTGTAGACAACTCCATTTATTTCTATTGACATGTTGATGCTGCTAATGCCGTTGGTAGACAGGTTCAATGCAGTCTCTTGTCTATCATCTGTCAGAAAGAAACCAGAGAGAGAGAGAGCAAAAAACTCAATATGAGCATTTTTTTGTAAAATGAACACAAGAAGCAAGAAGAGAACACTACAGACTAAGGCCGATAACTCATGAATGACAAGACTTGAGTTCAGTGTATCATGGCCTTCAGAACAGATATAACAGTTTTGAAGGAAGAAATATATGTCTGCATCTGCATGTTCATCCAGCCAGCAATTATTTGAAGAAAAATGCTTAAATACATATAATTAACTATATACATTTCCACTTGAATACAAATATTTATTTCCAGAGAAAAATATGTTAGGAACACTGTCATGGAAACTTTATGATACCAATCTAGAATCTAGAAGACTACACAGGTATGATTAAAATAGTTTTTACTTCAAAATAGTTTTGGAAAAAATCCTGGCAACAATCTCTGTTTAAAAAAAGGTTGAGCCAATTTTGCATTGGAGCAAATGTTTTTGAATGCAAGTCAGATTACATTTATTATTTTCAGCACCATTAAGTTTTCTAGTAAAGAATGTAAATCAGATGAAAAATACAATATATACAGTATATTGCATTTTGAGTATTATATTTTTAAAGTTACCCATTTTGTTTACATGAAGGATTGTAAAAATATACTTTTTGCATCACAGTATTAATTAATGTAGATGTCATTTTTAATATGGGGTACATACATCTAAATTAAGCCAAGACAGGCCCAGCACACTTAAAATCTAAAAAACATATACTTCATTTTCTCATCAAATATAAACCATAGAGCTAGAGATTAAGAGTAATCTGAGAGGAGCAGTCTTGCAGAAAAATGATATCACACATGAACAGATAAGCCCTTCATTCTTCATCAAGAAACTATTATTAAATAATGTATGACTTATTGCTTGTCTTAAACCAGGAAAGCTGGAACCATTAACATCATTTTAGCCAACATTATATTAACTTATATACCAGAGAACAGTATTGTTTTGCCAGAGTTCTTGGTACAGAATTTCTACATGCCAGTTTTGAAACACACTAAATTCATAAATTTATATTTCTTATAAATGAATAATTGAATTCCTGAAAAGACAAGGATCACACCACTGAGTGCTCCCTCAAATAAAATTCTATCACAAACACATCAACATAGGTTTCTTTCTTCCCTGGGATATAAAAGGATGTAACACATAGAAGACTTTCAGTATTAGCACCACGGACAAGGTCACAGAGATCTTGAAGTTTGGTGATGGTGTTAAAAGAGTCCTTAGAAAACTGAAGATACTTTTCACTGTAGTCTTCATTATTAAGAAATTCAAGGCTACTAGTATACTAAACATCTGGCCAGGAAGTAGACACAAATGTATCCTGCCACCACCAATGTTGAGAGAAGTTGTCCTGCAGGCAAAGTGTTCAATATCTGCACGAGTGCTGAAGAAATGCCTAAGTTGCAACAGGAAGCCTATTCTTAGGGCAAACCACAAAAAGAGGCAGCTCGTATTTGCCATACTACTATATGTCAGAATGACAACTGGAACCATGACATCGGATATTTCTTAAGAAGACAGGTCACAAAAAGACATCAAGGGGTCTGAAGGACCTAGAGCAAGTCTGCTTGGAGGAAGGGTAAAAAATCCCCCACTGTAGTGCCAGAACCTCATAGCACACTACCGGAAGCATCTCATTAGCGTAATCCCTGCCAGAGCCGGATTTACCAAATACCAACTCATAAGTGATGTGAAAAAAATTTTACGTCACGTTTTCTGGAATTTGATTATTAAGAACAAATGTGGCTTTGCTTTGTGCATTTCCGATATTACATTTTGCCACTTTTTTCAATTAGGACATATCCAAACAATACAGTAAATATTTCTGCTATATGATGTTTTTTCCCCTATTTTATTGGTGGTTTGAATGTGTAGGACACTGTAAACTGTTATTTGTAAGGGATTACTTTTAAAAAACGTTGCTTTGCCCAACACAGTTTACGGCACACTCCATCGGTTTTCCTGTCGGTGTTCCTTACCTCTGTTGTTAATTTTGATGTTCATTGGGAGCTGTGTTGCCATGGCAAAGAGGTTCTGCTGGAGCGCGTGCTGCATTATCCGCTGCTGTTCCTCGGCCATCAGCATCATCTTTTTCTCCGGAGGCTCCCCTGACTCCAGCTTCTCCCGCAACTGTTCCAGGGCCACCGCTTGAGCCGCCGCTGCCGCCTGGGCCGCCACCGCCTGGGCGGCGGCCACGTGGTGTCCCGCGAGCGACACGGGAATGGCGATCCTGCTGGGCACGCTGCTCGACAGCATCGTCTCTTCTGCGGGAGACAGAGACAGAAGCCGATGGGAGCGTGAATGTCTCCTCCCCTCTGATGTGTGTCCAAGGAAATGCAGGAAGAACACGCTTCACTCGTCAAGAAGTTCGTAAAACATTTTTTAGAAGAAGAAGAATCTTGACTCAAGAAGCTTGAAAAGCTTATGCTCTGTCTTTCAAACATTAGGGTAGCTTCTATAGTAACATATATAAGTTATATATAGAAGCCACACCTGTTGATTTGCTCGTATGTCAGTCATGTTTGCCTGTGCATAAAAACTGTACATTTAAAAAATGCCAGGATAAAAAACTCATTTTGGAAATCCCAGCTTTTTGGAATGTAGCAGTATCTTAAATTATTGCACCATTAACATGTTCTCTGGAAGATCAGATTCAAATAATACTATCGTTATCTAGAGTTTTCATAAATGGGAAGTACTTTATGAACAGCAGCTCCTTTGCTCATTTTCTACTAACTTACAAAATCCTTAATATCAAGCTATCAACCTGGGACAAATACAGCTACACTTCAGTTTTCTTTTGGTAAAACATCAATGAAATGTTACCGTATATTTTTCACAATGGTGCCATCACCAGAATTAATTCAAATATTAAGTCAATAACCTAATATTATTTATAATTATTTAAATCTTAATGAGGGTAAGATAAGAGCAGGAGATGGAATTGGCTATTGATAAACTTCAAACAAGGATCACAGGTTAACGTGCTTTGAATTCAGCATGCCAATAAGGGTTACTTTGATATTGAAAATGCTCTGAGGAATGTCACTTTGAAGTAGCCTTAGGAATATATACCAAAGAACATATTGAACTGATGGCCCCAAATATCTGTATATAGCAAACTAATGGCTATACATGATGATGATATTTCATTGACCCTATTTTATCTCAGATTATGATCCTACCATTCCTTTGGATCTCTAAAACTAGCAGAAAGTGCAGTAAGGAACAATTTAGAATATTTACAATGCTCATACTAGTTGTTGTGTTTTCTTCCATACAGGGGTCAGAATGTTTTTAACAACCCTGTGCAGCAAACACGGTATTTTGTGAGGTCATCTTTCATTTTGGCAATGTTATTCTGGGACTCTCTGTCCATTGGAGGACAGGTACAGTTCTTCATGATAAGCTTAGTTCTCTTTGTGCTATCTATCGACAGAAGTTAGTGAAGTGAGTGTGGTAAATTGAGCACATTCCGACTCAATCCCAGTCAACTGTAATAAAGTGCAATTTATCATGTACTCCTATTCCACAGTGGATAAACTCTGATTCCAACCAGGGACTGTTTGTCATGCTACACCCTGGGAGTAGGGCTATATTCCCTACTAAACAGGTGAGAAATGTTACAAATGGGAGGAGGCCATTCAGCACAGTTTTGTGTATATTTAAAATATGCCAAGTGCTTTCATTTTACAGACTAATAGTTTTTATGAAAATAACTGTAAAATAATAATACAGTTATCTGTACATAATACAGAGTAAATACAGTGAAATACAGTTTGAAGCCTAACCGTGAGGCCTGTGAGGGAACCACCTTTGCTGAAATCAGACCAATCATTCATCTTCAGTACAACCTGCTTTTTTAAAGGAATCTAGAGGTATTCCTGGCTATTTCTGCTTCGTTCCTCCCAGTGTAACACGGAAATACCCAATGAGTGTATGAGGAAGTCCTGCAAGATGTTTCCTTTCAGAGGTGATGACCATAATGTAGTATACACTCTACTATAGGACTCAGTCTTTAATCTCCCATTGTAACACAAGATGTAAAGACATTGAAACAAAAAATGAGCTCAGTGAGCTTAGAGGAACTTCTAAATTTTGAGACTATTTTTTTAAATTTGGAAAGTCAACAGATATTTACAGACAATTCACTAGAATAAAACTCAAGCAAGCATCAATTATTAGCAGAACAAAAATGTAAAATAAGATTTTAAACAAATTTAACTTTCAGAGGTAAATGTTTATCAACAGTTTAAACTTGTTACAAAACATATTTTGATTTTGATCACCTCTAGGTGTTTTTTGGTATTTTATATTTACATTTTTTTGCTACTATAGTATTCATAGTAAGCATATTACACACAATGGGAAATGTATCATAAATACCAATAGGTAATTGGTATTAATATTATCATAACAATAAAAAAGAAATCTGACATGATAGGGTTCACAAAAATATTTTTGTGAAAATTAGGGATAAGTGATTAGTTTAAAAAATCAAGTTCTGAAGAAATTCAGGAGACAACAAACATATATTGATGCATTGCCTGGGTTGAAATGTGGATTCCTGTTCAGGTTTAAAATACATGTATCAGGACTAAAGAGGCCTGTGAGCTCTTACATCCAGGTGGCAGCACACACCTCAGAAATGAGAGAAATGAATAATAGGATAATGATTTGCTGGATACTCCCCCAAATTAATTTTGACTCAATTGTGTGGAGAAGCCAAACATCACCAATACAAAACACCCTTGGTGGTGTTGTGACATTGTTTTTCTATGAGTGAAGAGAAAAAAGCCTTAACCACTAGTTTATGTACTATATCATCAAACTCTAGATACAAAAAAATATACACAAAACCGAGCCAAATGGCCTACTCTTGTTTGTAATCTTTTATTGGTTTAGTAGAGGTTCTAGTGTTTTTAGGCAGAACTGGAGGCAGTCCATACCTTTCTTTATGGCAGTAGTGATGTGGCCACCGTTGGGAGTAGGCATTGCGATTGGAGGCATCTGGATCTTTGGTGAGGAGAGGACATTAGGCGTCCCCACAGGAGAGTAGCTGAACAAGGCTGACCCGTAGCTCTGTCGGCGACCTTCTCTTCGGTTACTGTCAATAGCTGCCTGAAGCTCACCCGGGGAGCTGAGACCCCGCTTTTCACATTCATAGGGATAAAGGTACTTCATATACCTGTAAATAATAACAACTAAGTTTAGATGCACTTCTCTTGTATATAGTGCCCTACCACATTGTCCTGATTTAATAATCGGCAAATGTTTTTCAACCAGGTGAATATGGTTAAAACAGAAACATGTTTATGCATTTCTGAGTGGTGTATAAAGGCATCAGCCTCTTTCAGGATGAAGTAATATCTTTAAATAACAGACCTTGGTGAAACTTGTGCAAACAAGTCTGTTTCTTCTTTTTTACTGCGGTTACAACTTTGCACGCCAACTTCTGCCACCATAATTACATAATTTATACAGTACATGATATTGGGAAGCTTAGTCATTTAGTCCAGATCATCATGAATCGTGCTTTACCAGAATGGTAGCAAGAGTGAAAAGAAAATTAATATTTTATTTACAGTAGTTTCATAGATATTACATAGAGTTTCGTAGTTTCAAAGACTACTTTGAAAAGTAGTTTTCAAAGATATTTGGCTTTTGTTAATTTCATTTTCAATATTTATATCACTTCAGGACTCAAGGAAATATAAGAAAACAATACAATTTTAATTTCTCACTTTTGTTACGTAAAGCAAAAATGTATCATTTTGGAACACTTTAAGGTGAAAATGAAACTAAATACTACCATTATAAATGCTGGAATGATTTCTTAATGTATTGCTTATGGTGTAATACTGAATTTATTTAGGAAATGAATGAAGGACAGACTATATACCATATACTAAACTTGTACTTTATATACTTATATATATAAAACGTATATATACTATACTTTATTTGAAATGCTTATTTTAGCCGCCAATTTATCAGAAAATGTATACACATAAAATAAACTAGGAATTTAACTTAACTGGAAAGAACCAAAGTACAATTCTGTAAGGTTTTGCTTCAAGGGACTATAGCTTTTGAATGAAGGGAAAGCACTACGAAATCTTCCCTCATGTATATATTGGAATATAGTGGAAAACACTATAAGGTCCTCCAATAGGTATATTCAGTAAAAACACCCATGGCCTCAAACTGTGCAATAATTTGGAATTCATGATACTCCTTGTTCACTCTTTGTTCAAAGTTTCTGATGCGTTCTAATTGCATTGCATACTTACTGTGTTCTGAGAGTAAAAGCTGCACTAGTGATAGAGGTAGGAAGGTTTAGACCTTTGGTGATCTCACGCCATATCTTCTTATTGATGACCTCCACTAAGCCGCCTTTTTCTGTGACAAGCTTGTAGAGAGTGTAGAGATCTAACACCTGCTTGGCCATGATAGGAATCCGATTCACTGGAGTCCCTGCAGAAACAAACACAATATCCACAATCAATTCCATTAACTTCAGCACATCGACAGGCCTCTCGGCTGGTTATAAGGCCAATTAATCTGGACTAAGTAAAATGTCTAATAGCGCTGCTCTTTCGTTAACAGAAAATGTCACTTTTAAACCTATCTAATTTCTCTATTAACCATTATTTGACAGCCAAGGAGTAGAGGCATGCCTTTTTATTCCACTGACTGGATTGCAGTGCTTCATCAGAATACACTTTGGAGTACAAAAAAATCAGAGTGAAATTTTTAGAATCTTTTCCTATGAATATTCTACATACAAATTTGGAGATGTTTACAAAATTAAATATGTTCACATTATTCAAATGATATAATTCTAAGACCTACTGTATATAACACATATTATATTTGTATAAATTTGTGTAATTCTAATATGTTCTAATTAAAATTTATTAATAAAAATACGTGTGAATCTTTTGGTTTAGCGTGCTTCACACAATATCATTGACCTGTAGGTTTAAGTTTTAGCTGCTATGGAAAAAGACTTAATTGAAAAAAATTCAGAAAATATTTCTGTAAGGTTAAGCTGGTGTCAGTACGTTGTGTAAAATTATCAGTTTTAATTTACCCCATATTTATTTTCCCCATGTTTACTACCTATAAATTATCCCTTATGGCAGAAAAAACAATTAATTATATTAATATTAATTAATATCCACACTGAAACGGAATTTTGTGAAAGACTTTTCTCTCATGTACAATATCAAAAAGTTCTAAGTACCCTAAAGACAATTTAGATTATATTTAAATGTCAAATTCAATATTTTAATTTTCCTTAGTAATTCCTATTAAAAATATCTAAAAAACAATCTTAAAAATTCACGTTAAAATGTATTCTTTTTGCCAAAAATTAGAGAGATTACTTCATCACAACAAACGTCTATTTTTAAAGCACCAAAGCACATATTTGGAAATCGCAAATAATACTTTAGATGATGGACTTTAAAGTGACTTCAAAAAGTTATATCACATCTAAGTTTCATATCTCAGTTTATGTGGTAATATGTGGCATGTATTTTCTTTCGTTAAAATAGATAAGAACACACCCCAAAACAAAAAAAACTGGGAAGTCCTTTATTTCCTGGTGATACTGTATCGAGTTTGTTTTTTCTCTTGAAAATGTGCTACATTACTGTTAGATCTTGATTCATTCACAATGAGGCTGTTAAAAATCATAATTGGGTGGATATCACCCTGCAACTCACAACTGGCAACCCACTGAAGCTAAGCAGGTGTGAGTGTGGTCAGTACCTGGATGGGAGACCTCCTGGGAAAAACTAAGGTTGTGGCTGGAAGAGGTGTTAGTGGGACCAGCAGGGAGCGTTCACCCTGTGGTTCATGTGGGTCCAAATGCCCAAGTATAGTGATGGGGACACTATACTGTAAACTGGTGCTGTCCTTCGGATGAGATATAAAACTGGGGTAATGATTCTCTGTGGTCATTAAAAATCCCAGGGTGTTTCTCGAAAAGAGTAGTAACCCTGGTGTCCTGGCCAAATTTCCTATTGGCCCTTTCCAATCATGGCCTCCAGTACTATGGCTGCTGTTGCATCATCCAGGTGGATGCTGCACATTGGTGGTGATGGTGGAGGGGGTCCCCATTACCTGTAAAGCACTTTGAGTGGAGTGTCCAGAAAAGCGCTATATAAGTGTAAGCAATTTTTATTATTATATTATTTACTGAAAGCAATGGTGCTACAGGAGTTGGGCTTTGAGACCCTTGGTATACAAGTCAGTTTTTGTATTGTGAAGGCCTGCATAAACACTCACAAGCAGTCAGACATAACAGAAAGACACTACATTCAAGGACACCCTTAAAACATGCACAGCTTTCCCCTTTACCCTAAGCAACAACCAGACTGCTTACTTTAAGAAGCCCCAAATGTGTATCTCTGGACAGTGATACAATATGTGCTTCTTAGGGAGTTCTAGAAAAGCTGTCTGCTTAAGTAATACACATTGACCAAAAAGGTTCTCCTGGGTACATCCCATTGGAAATCATTGCTGTGGCCAATAACAAATTTAGGCTGAGGGTAATATTTCTGTGCAGAGTTTATCTCAAGTAGAAAATTAAACATGAAGGATCTCACGGTTCACAGGCAAAGGAAAATAGTAGGAAAATCTCAGCAATAACAGAAACAACTTAAGGAAATACAGCATTTGAGAACTGTCAATCCTAAGAGCGGTTTTGATTCTTGTGGAACTTTAAATTTGCATAAAAACTGTTACCATTGGTTTAGTAGTTTTAAAGTTTCCACATGAGAATACTAGAAAGTAAATTGAAAAAACTGTATTTCTTATTGCTTCTACTGTCTGCAGTATCATTTGATATCTTAAGACAGCTTAGCTTATTGTAAATGCAATACTTTTTTAATTTATACAGAAGGACCCTTATTTCCAATATTAGTTAAATAATAGAGGAGACAATTCATATCAGATAAATAATAAGATTTAATTTCTCAGACGTGTTAATAGTGTTGACTTTGGGCATTTAGTTAAATTGCACGATATAGCCATATACACGTAGTTAAGCCTGTTATTTGACTTTTCTCAAGACTGAAGCAATAGCTTTAATTTTTTAAAACCCTGTAATTTCCACACAAAGTACTTGAAATAAAATGTGCTAAAGTATACTAGCAATGACTAATAATCAATATTCAAAACCCACAGCATTGAAGAAATGCTTCAATTTTCCATTAGAAAAAACAAACGTGCAAGGTTATTTAAAGCTTTACAGTTTTTGTAATTAGCTTGAAAGTGTCCAGTAACAGAGTATTGACTGACTCTAAAGGTATGTCATAGACTTTTTTTTTCCATTCAATTTGTTTGCTTTTTTGCAAATCTCCTAAACCTGAGGTAGGCAGTGATAAAGGTGGCATTATTTGCATGTTTTATTTTAAGAAGAAGAGAAGATATGTTTGAATGCCATCACACATATCTTTGTAAATAAGATGATGGGATTTTGTTTAGGACAGTCAAGACATTAGAGTGTTCTCAAAGTCTATTTAGAGTCTTCTCAGTGTCCATTTCTATTTAAGTTCATACAGTAGGTATTATGCCCTATAAGAGGGGCTCCTTATCTTGGTCCTGCAGGCCAACACACCTGCTGGTCCTCATTCCATCTGAGCTTAATTATCTAATTGAAGTCTCATCGAACTAATTGATTGAATGCAATATGTGCATACCTGTACAGTATGTGTATTTTTTGCTTCTCAGAAGATAGGGATTTTATCTTCTTCTGAATTATGAACCTCCATTCCCATTCCCAACTTACAAAACCTAATGAGAAGCCTCAGTTTTACTTTAAAAGCACAGAAATAAGACATTTATTGTGAACTGAACCTGTATTGGGCAGTTTGGTGACACAGTGCTTAGCGTTGCTGCCTGACAGCACTGGGTGCTGGGTCCAGTTCTGGACATGGGGTGCCATCTGTATGGAGTTTGTAAGTTCTCTTTGTGTTTGTGTGGGTTTCTCTGGGTGTTCCAGTTCCCTTTCACAGTCCAAAGACATAGTGGTACAGTAGGTTAACTGAAAATTGGCCCTGGAGTGCGTGTTTGTGTGTGCCCTGTGATGGACTGGTGTCCTGCGCAGGGTGTATCTTGCCTAGCGCTCATTGCTTGCTGGGACAGGCTCCAGCTCCTTCACAACTGTACTGGACAAAGCAGTTAGAAAGAAAATGGATGGATGAACTTGAACTTTGCATTGTTTTAAAGCACATTCATTTGAAGCAATACATGAAAAAATTCAAATCCCTTTCAACAACAGAATGCACTTAAACAGGACACACAGAACAGATCCATGAAATACATTCATTTTGAAAACAACAAAAAAAATCTTCTTTTTTAAAAAATAGAATCTTCACACAAAACATTTTAGATGTTTTTGAAGACATTAATTAGCACAAAATAATACAGAAATTATTTCTTTTCCTGATTTGAGGTAAGCTATTAAGTCCTATATAATGCGTGAGGGTTGAGATCTTTTGTGTGGATACAAGAATGACTGACCCTGAGATAATTAACCTGCATTTTGCTGATAGAGTTCTATTGTGCCCATTGGATTTACAATAATAGCAATCAATAGCCCTGGAAATATACTGCAAACGACAGCCATGCGTACTATCCAGTGAAAAAATGTGAAGAGACGTATAGTCTGGACTGTAAAAACACAGCAATTAAGCCTTGTAATTACCAGTTCATTTTGCCACTTTGGCATCTGAAAAAAAATACGCTATTAAAAATGGAGACTGATATGCACTGGCTTTGAGGACAAAACTGGCTTTATTTAACATGATCAGACAGCTAAAACATCGCAATGCCTTTTCTTTTAAAGTTCTTCTTATAAACCGTCCATGTACCTGTGGCACTGATGTAAAGAAGCTTCTCTTTTGAATGCTGAACGGACCTGCAAGGTTAGATTTATAGAAATAATTGGAAAATATTACAATTACCAATTGATTCCTTAATTGGCTGCGATGAATAGAACAGTGTGAGAAATAATTTATCGATTTTTGTAAGATAAAATAATTGGTTAGCTTAACAGAAAAGGTTGATTTCTAAAATTGCAATTTACTTATTTTAAACTACTAGAATAATGTTATTTAAAGAAAAAAAAAGTTCTGGCATAAACATGTCATTTGTGTCTTTCCTAGGAAAGATTAAAAATATGTTTGAAGAATATGTATACATATGTTTAAATATCTGAAGAAAAACATGATGGAATCATGACATCAAAATGATGTCTCTATATAGTGTAAATTATGAATAGATAACAAGAGTTAATAAGATACCATATGCAGTTACACTAATATTTCATTTCAGTTGTTATTTTTTAACTAGGACCTATGTGTTGCCATGTGAGGACTTGTTTAACTGTAAAGGTTTCAATAAGCTTCTCGTTGACTGTGGCACTGAACCATCCTTAAGAGCAACGTATCATTGTACAGTTT